AAGAGCCATGAAAACTGAGCAATACCTACACCGGTACTCGAACCTGGACCTCTCGAATACGCGCCGAGTTTGCTAACCATTACACCACGAAGGCCAATTAATCAAATGTACCCAAATCAGAACTCTTGAAGAGGTTTTAAATCATAAGATAAACACCCTACCCATAAAATGAATAGAACATTTCATGTGACACTACACAATTTGATTTTGTAAAAGAACAGCAGGAATTTAAATATGAAGATGTTATTATATTTTAAGGGTGTCATTATTATTTTTACTAATATGTTACGATATTTACAAAGCCGAACTTCTAGAGTTCAGCCGTACACTGGTGGGCCTAGATTTATTCAGAATAAATGTCAGTCTGTAAATTGAATATGCAGAGTCATTAGGTTATTTTGTTTTGAACCCAGGAAACATGAAAAATGTGCAATGCCCTTGCCAGAACTCGAACCTGGATCTCTCGAATACGCGCCGAGTGTGCTACAGTTACACCACGAAGGCATGGAGAAAGAAGGAAGGGAAAAAATACCCTTATAAATACTTAGCTGTCAGTATGTTTGAATTCCAAAGAGTAACAACAGAAATTTCTTGTAGACACCAACATTTAGATTTCAGAGACAAAATAAATATAATTTTTCCTTTCCGTTTATTGTGTTTATGTTACTATGTGTTTTTGTTAATTTATTTATTTTTTTTTTTTTTTTGATGAAAACAAATTCCGACTTCGTAACTCTTATTCTGCGATTTAAAACATCTGTAACTGTTATTCGGCGATAAATTATTCGTAATGACACACGTTTGACCATTTATAAAATTGTGAGATATTTGCTTCTGGTTTAAGATAAAATGTATCGTAAACTTTCCTTTTTGAGTTTCTTGAATCCCGAAACACCAGAAAAAACTTGCATTTTTTTCTCACAGCGTAATGCAATAGCAAATAAAAATACATCGAGATAGGGTTTTATGCAGATAAAAGCGAATAAAAAGGTATCTCTATTTTTTGCTTATGCATTTTCAAACCAGATGGCTTTCTGTGGAAAAACAAATATGCAAAGACAACACACAAAAACGCTTTTTAAGGGAAAAACTTCGTAATCTCAGAAAACAATATATAGCATTTTCTGGCTTTCAGTTCTTTAAAAAAATCAGTCTCAAGCCAAAAAAGATTATATTATCCCATCAACGACATCAAATTTTTCATTGAATTTGAATTTGTATGCTTTGCTCTTTCTCTTCATTATACAGTCAATGCAACAAGAATGTTTAAAAAACTTAACAAACGTATTTGGTGAAGAGATGTTTTTTCCACATACCACATCGATGTTTTCAGGCGAAAAGCCTTGTTTCCATACTCTTAGCAGTCCTATCTTAATTAGGTTATTTGGAGGGTTTTTTTTAATGTGATGGCTTCGTAGCTACATAGTTACTTTATTCCTTCTAACATTTCAGCGTAGTTCCATAGAATAAGTATATAACTCCAGTAATTTAAATATGAAAGCTTATTGTAAGAACTGCAGTGCTTTTAGCATTAAACGTAACTGCTTCATCTCCTACATGCAGCCTATTTATAAAGGAAATTTTCGTTAATGTAACTAATGGAAGCAGGATGGAATACATTTTGTTTAATTAAGAACGTTAAAAACAGTAAAGCATTTGATTAAAGATTTTGGAAGAATGTTGATAAATCTCAGTCTTCATTTTTACTTTCTTTTACAAAATAAAGAAAGTATTGTAATCACGAAAAAATTCGGTTGTGTTATATTTCAACAAAAATATCCATTTCGACTGCTCTCGAAAATATTTGAAAGATGTTTTTGCGTAATATCTGTACATATGAACAAAATAAAGATCTTTATACAAAAACGGAGTGTAAAATGCATTCAGAAAGTAATTTTTCTTACATAAGTACGTATGTATGCATGTCGCATAACTCAAGTCGTAGAACGTTGAAATTGTGTATACGGGACTGCTACTAGTAGCTGTGCAGCTACCATTTTCGTTTCAATCGGCTGCACCAATCGTATATATAAATATATATAATATATATATATGTGTGTGTGTGTGTGATATGATAGTACAATTTTGGAAGCACTGATATGTTGGAGCGTAACAGTATTATTTAGCGTAGATACTTAATCCATATTAAAGGGGAACAAAGTCGAGCAGGATTAACTTCCTTTTTTATTTAAATTCACATTTGTGGCCACAATTTACTTGGCACTCCAATCGTGTCTATTTCCAGAACATTTACATTTTTTATACTATGGCGATCGAAGCGAGCATAGACGATTTCAGCAGCGTCTTGCCAGGAAGAAAGCGATAAGTGACGCAGTGATACAGAGGGTGAAGGGAGGAGACAAAAGTTTCAGTTCGAGTTAAGAAAAGTTTTGGTTTACAATTTATTTGATTGGTCACGAGATATCTGCATTATACGTTACGTAAGATCGCATGACTAATTTGAATGACGCAGTTTAGACTTATAGCGTTGTTTTTAAGACAGAGAGAGGAAGTCGGGAAATTAAATAAAAAATAGAAGAGGTTACAGCCAATTAAAATTAGAAGTTTGCTTTCATGTTTTTTATGTTACATATATATCTATATATATATATATATATATATATTTCAACTGTGCTGTCTGGCTCGGTGAGCTTAATATTTTATTCTTTTATGTTGGTAAATTGTGCATTTTTTGCTTTAAAATGATTGATTTATGTGACTTTTATGTTCTGGTTAGTGTTTTTATGTCTTTAGTTAATCTGTATACAATAGTTGTAGAATTATCAACAATTTAAAAGTTTAGGTGTAGAGTTAAGCCTAACGAACAGCCATTTGTTTACATTTGAAATAAAACAAAATCGTGAATTCAGTTTCTGCACCTTTAATGTTTTTTTGCCGAGTGAGACTAAAGGTAAACTTTCAGTTTTGTGCACAGAAAAATCTGCCTTCTTGCCCGCTGGCCGAATTGCTTGTTTTTCAGTAGAAACTCTAATTTTAATTGTAAAAGAATTTTTATGTATATTTTGCTTTGCCGCGGAGTGAGAACTGAATTAATTCAGTGAGAAAAATATCTCTAATGAGATTCTGGAAAATAAGTTCATATGACGTGCAGCAAAAAAATGCGTATAATTTAATAGGCCATACCTGGAAATCATGTGGTGTCCACATCAGATTTTTCGTGTTTATGATATTTCTAAACTCATATTGTACAGGCTATCGATTAACTGTTATTCCTAAACTCATATTGTACAGGCTATCGATTAACTTTTATTCCTAAACTCATAAACAGGCTATCAAATGAATACCAATAGGTGAGTGAGCAATAGATGAATAGAAATAGGTAACTTAATGTTGGTCATATGTCTTAATCTCCAGAACGATTTTTACTCATTTTTATCTTAATTCTGGCCACTTTTACCTTATTAAAAGGTTCACTTTTATCTATATTTATTACTTAAAAATGACTCGAGAGTGTAACCCAAGGGTTCTATACCATCGACGTCTTTCCATTTTTAGCGTAAACTTTCTACCCCTAAGAAATTCGTATAATTGAAATCCAATCTTTTCTAAGCCACAAGGACATTATTTTGTGCTTTATTTAGGATCTGAGCCCATATGCATATTCGGACTCCACTAACTGCCATATATAGGGGGAATCTGACAAGTGAGCAAAAGTTTAGGGTGTGACAGAAAGCAGCTACACGAGCAATATTCGCTATAGAATGTGATGTGTGTTCGGAACGCGCACAGCGAGCCGCTAGCTGGCATTGTAAATGGTATAAAAGGGTCAGTCCTCTCTCCTAATGGCATTTTCTACCGTGGATTACCGAGAGGGTGACTGGTTATGCGAACCACAAAATTTCCAGGCTAATGGATTGGTGGATGTGGTCCCATAGCTTGGCCATCAAGATCATCGTATCGCTCGTGCTTGGACTTTTACCTGTGAGGCCATATGAAAAGCGTAATGTACGAGTGCCCTGTTGAAACCGTTATGGAGTTATGTCCCAATCACATTATGTTTCGGCTACGCGGGATTTGACGTCGAAAGGGACAATATTCAGAACCGGCACAATTCAGGTTACCATTCTCACTTACTACAAAAACTTGAACGCCAAACATAATCGATTATCGCTCAGATTGGGATCACGTGATCCTTCAGAAGCAGAACTTTCGTCTGATTGGTTGTCTCTACCTGGGACCCGAGACGTTTTCGATGAGGTTTGAAAAACCTCCCGCGTAGCCGCGACATTGTATCCGTAGCTAGGCGGGACTTTGCTTCAGGTGGGGCTCATTTTTCTAGGAATCTTCCCGTTTAAACCAATGTTACTAGAATCTCGTTTCTCAGAAAAGTCCCGTCTAGCAGGGACTGTAGCCATGTATAACCTCGTTAGTCGCCAGGAACACCTGTTCGCCGGCGATATTCGGTAAATGCTTGGTGTCTTCGCAAATGGGCGTCAGTCTCCCTATCCCTCAGTGTGAAACCTGCATTACAGCTGGCGGAAGGTCTTTTGAGCAATTTATTTGAGCAAGTGCATCAGTTAAATTTATGTTAATAAAATGTTTTTGAAGTATCTCCTCTCATTTTTGTGTTAATTCTTTAAATGTGACAGTGGAAATCTATGCTTTAGCTTCTCAACGCTTGCGTTCCGACCATATATTCTATGACAAATATTGCTGCTATAGCGGCCTTCTATCTCTTCCCTCCCCCGCTAAAGTTTTGCACACTGGTCCAGATTCACCCTGTATAGATATAAACCGCCACGTTGCACGTACTTTCCCGCAGAGAAATATTCCGCTGTTTAAAAGGAACATAAGGAGGCAAAAAATTAAATCCTGTTTCCTAAAGCCATTCGACCTGCTTACAAAGTTTCATTATGTAATCCAATAAATGTTATTTTTATCTAGCTGCTATTTTGTTCGTAAAATAAATAAAAATGTGACTAAGAAAGGTGTGTTATCTTTTCTTCCTAAAGCTTTAATTTTCTTTCATTTAGATTACTTAGTGGAAGCAGAACCTGAGTTTGCTGAACCAATTCAAAATGTCACAGTTGCTATTGGAAGAGACGCTCAACTCAGCTGCACTGTGCAAAATCTGGGAACTTACCGAGTTCGTATAATCATTAGTTCTTCTTTTTCCTAAATTTTATTTCCGGAAGGAAATATTTCACTTACTTACTGTAAATGTCCCATGTTATTAACAAACATGCCGTCTTTATAGTACTATTACGAACGTATTATATTACGTAATAGGTCATGCGTCAGAAAAATTCCACTTTTGAAATTAAGATCTGAATCAGTAGAGTCTATTAAAGGAACCTTTAAGAAAAGATGACAGAAAAATTACTTCAGTAGAGAAAACTATGAAATTTGAACAAAATTTCATGTTTTTCTCTACTGAAGTAGCAAATAAAGATGGCATTTTTTATTCTTAAGAATCCCGAGAAAGATATGAAATTCGAATTTCCGCTCTTTTGTTTCTTAGCCCAGAAGGGCTGTTAGTCCCCAAACGGCATTTGTGCTGAATCACTATAAACGCCTGTATCACTTTTCAAATTGTTGTCATCAAATATTATCGCCCTGTATTATATTTAAAGAAACTAAATATGAATAATCTATATGAATGTATGTATGTTTCTTACACTGTGAAAACAAAGGTACGTAGAGTCATCTAAGTTTGGATAACGTACGTCTCCACCCAAACATTAGCACCATATTGTCTATTTCATATTTTGTAAAACCTTAAGGAATTTTTTATTAAAACAATTCAACAATTTCAAAGTGAGCAGTTGCAACACGGTAAGAAATAAAACATTTTTGTCGCCAACGCGTGAGACTACCTATCCGAAATTCTAAAGAGGTTTTAGTGAGAAAAGTTTTACATTTAAAATAATCAAAATAATTTGATAGCGATGAATGGCAAACAAACAAACAAAAAATTTTAGGCTTCCCTGCCTCGTGAACCCAATCACACTACAGGTCTACTCCCCCTTTGGGCACTTCGTGGAGGTTCAATCTCCACTATTTACCCTTCCAGGGGAGCAGCGCATCACCTGGAAAACTCACCAGGCAGCACCGGTTGTCAAAGTGCTCCTGCCAGTCGCATGGGCGAGCCCGTCACAGTCGGCCGTTACCCAGCAAACCGGGGGAACTAGCCCTCCGGCTACGTTTCCACACCGCTCAGGACAAGCCAGTCCCCGAGGCCGGCCAATAAATGACCTTTCCCAGGGCCTTCAGAACCACCAAGTTCATAAATTTTATCCCCCGTGGCCGAAACTGCCTAGGTACAGATCCTAGCCAGTAGCTTCGCAGAGTTCTCTACGTCGACCCCCGGGGGGGCGATGAATGGCAGTTAACTTTATAATATAGGATTATGCTTCATCCGGTAATGCCCTGTAACCCTAAAGGCCCGTCTACACATAGCGATTTCTTCGGCCGACTTAGCTGGCCGACAATATCTGAGATAACTCGCCTGTCCACACGGAACGAACGGACACAGAAATTCACTCAGCCAATCACTGTGTAAAATTTACATTACTCGTGTCCCACAACCCAACATTTTCTCTAAAGAAAACTATTAGTTAAAAAATATGAGTTTCGCTCCAACGAAATGCAGCCATGTTTATTATTCCAAATGAGGAGAAAAGCACGTGATCACTCAAAGCAATCTTATTGGCTAGGGACTCCGGACGCTAGTGAGCAGTGAATACCAGTTCTGAAATCGCGGCAGAGAGAGCATGACCGATTTTTGGCGCATGCGCAGAAGATCCTTAAAATTGTTGCTCTATGAGAAAGTCGGTCGAGAAAATCGCTTTGTGTAGACTGGTCATAACAGACGTGAAACGAGTCATTACTATAACTGAGGTAAATGATAGTCTTTTTTTTTTTTTTTTTTTTTTTTTTTGACGCAGAAGGTCTGTGGGGAAAAGACCTCAGGTGGAGACAAAGAAAAAGACATGCCAGTAAAAATGATATAGGATACAAAACGCAAATATATGAATGCCTAAGTAAAATTTTCAAAGTTCGCCAAGTGGCTCCACGTCTTCCAATACCAGAGGACTTTCCTGGAATTACTGGACTTCCAATTCCAGTAATTCCAGGAAAGGCAATATAGGAACATTATAAAAAGCGTTCATAGGTCCAGTCCGCTTACAGATGGCTCGATGAGCTAGAGGTAATTCCAAATTGAAAGAGATAAGCTGAAAGGCTATTGTGGCCAGTAGTCAAAAGAAAGACACCAAATGTCTTACCTCTCGGATAGTCTGATAAGTTACTTAGCCCATTTCTTGATCGAAATCTTCTGATGCAGCGATATGTTATAACTATTTTGAAATCTCTGTCATGCAGTAAGAAATGTAGATAGGTTGACAGGGCCGGTGGTAAGTTTTTGTGATAGGGCGTATTGCTTTCTCGATTCCAAAAACCTCAACTTAAATATTCGCAGCTAATTTGCATTCTGTTGATGAATGCGGATAGGAGAAGTTATAGTAAAGATTGAAATTATAGTAACTGAATAACTAACATAAGGTACACTGCGCAAAAACAAAATGGGACAGTTCTAGATCTCCCGCTCTACTGGGACGATTGACGAAATTAAACTTGCGTTTTTCATGTCTGGAACGCATTTCTTGCGTTTTTCATATCTCCATATGTATTAGATGTATATATATTTGTGTTCTAATATAGGTATTCTGACATAAAATCGGCCTTTTTCTGAAATGGCATGCCAGTGTTTTCATAGTTCTATTCTACGAATCGAATTATGCCAAAGTGCCAAGTTTTGTCAAAATCGCAAGAGTAGTTTTTTAAAAATTACTTCTCAAAATATTAGCTCTTGCATATTAATTGAATTTGGTATGTATTTATTAATATCTCTTCTTTATTAAACTTATTTAATTCTTTTTTTACATTTCGAAATTTAGATTCGTTCCAAATAAAATTCGGTCTTTTTTTATGATTTATTTTTAAAATTTGTATATTTAAATAATTATTATAAATTTTTCGAAAACATTTTTAAATTATAACCTATAAAAGTTTTACCGTCATCTTAGAGTAGATGTATTTCTAAGCATACTTGCAAAAAATGAGAGTTTTTCAAAATTTCCGAAGATATACTGGAATTTATATATTAGCGCGTTTTGAAATTTGCCGTATTTGTTGAAAGCGATGAAACATCAAATGCGGCTTAAGCACTTTTTTAAAATTATTTGAAAGTAGGGAACGACAACGATGTGACTTTTTCCTCTTGTGCACAATGTAAAAAGTGAAAGGAAAATAGGTTGTCATATATTAAGAAGTTGACGAAGTGAATTATTCTTGAAAAAAAACTGAAACTGAAAAAGTTGAGCCAAGATAAATTTTGGAATTTCTCCATACATTTCGCACCAAATTTTACAAAATTTAATATTTAGGCCTAGTCTGAGCTGCAAAATAGAAGTAAGGAAAAGCATTGCCATGCCATTTCATAAAAGTCCGATTTTATCTCAAAATAACTATATTAAACAATCTTATATAAAAATCTAATACATTTGTTAAGACGAGCTTTCGAGACATGAAAAACGCAATTTGTGTTTCGTCAATCGGCCCAGTAGAACGGGAGATATAGAACTGTCCCATTTTTTTTTTCGCATTGTACCTTGCAAGATAAAGCAGCACGAAAATTAAAGGGCTCGGAAAATTAAATATGTAAGTTTTTTTATTAGCAGTAAAATATATTCTTAAAAATTCGACCTACGCTTTCAAACACCTACTATGTTGCTCATATTATGTTGCTATGTTGCTATTTTTCGGTAGACAGTAGAAAGCTGCTCACTTACCTACTTTTCATCACTTCAGTCATTTGAATATTTACCAAATTCCATATGAAATATTTGCAAAAATGATCAGCGAAATAAACATCCGACATGAATAAAAGTAAGTATACCACAATTAACTGAAAACAAAGTTGAAGAAATCTGTTATCTTAAATGAAAGACTTTTTAATTCATACAATAAAAATACTAGACATCTTCACTGAAATATAATTCAAGCTAAACACATGATACAGCATAAGAAGCATCGAAACAAGAAGGAAATATTTATGCATAGGAACATAAATCCGAAGAAGGCACCTAAAATATTCGAAAAAATTCTTAGCACAACTATCTTTTACTGTTGTTTTTACGTTTTCTGCTATATTTTGAGAAAAGGAATAAAATTCAATTCCTATCCCTTTTTGCCTCACTTTCAAAGTGCCCGCTATCATATCAGAGATTCCTTTTCCTCATCGGAACACGACGTTTTGGGTGACCCCTCTCCAACTTCTTTTTCTTACCTCTCTTTTAAAGGAAGATCTCATGTTTCCCGTCTCAAAGAGTAAGTCTGTTTAAAGTATCCTCTTACGCAACTGTAGAGACTGCGGAATATGTGTATTTTGGTTTATTTAAGAGCAGCATGCTTTTTTCCTTTATCTGTAGGTACACATAAAGTTATATGATACAGACACATCTAACGTTGTTGATTTCTCAAGAGTTTTCTTGCTGCAGTGAAAGTTACAGGAAATACATTATACTTCAAACTATGATTTACAATATCTAAAGTTTGATAAATATCGCGAGTTATGTACATAAAAGTAAGTATTTTCAGTGCTGTTAGATATTTGTTGAATTAAGTAATTTTAGGGACCCCATCGCCATTAACATTTCTAATGGGACTGTTTTATGGTTAAAAGCAAAGCGAAAGTTCTCTTCGAGTCAGCGATTTACGCTACAGGAATATTTTTCAACGACTTGTTCCTTATCATTACACAAAACAGCTCTAGTAAAAGTTTCTAACATGCAGCATAATTTATTGCGGTGCTTATTCACGGCTGCTGTTGCCATCTGAATAAATGCTGTAACTGTAGTTGTTTGAAATCTCATCGCGTTATGTATTTATATACTACAGATTTGTACACCATGTGTGTAGACATATAACACATATATCCACACATTTTTATAAATTAGAAGAGTGTGCCATCAATGAACAACAGAGATTAGTCTAGTCTCCTCAGAATTTTCAAAGTATCTTTGTTATAGTTTTTTACGAGTGATAGAACTTTAACTTTTCTTGCCATATTTTAGTTCGTGTTCA